ATTCAGTCATAGGTTCTTTAAAGAACCATCTCTTTCTTACCTTTTTGTAATCTGAAGAACCTTATTTCGCCACAAAGAACCTTTTGTGAAACAGAAAGGTTCTTCAGATGTTAAAGGTTCTTTATGGAACCATTTAGACAAAAAGGTTCTTCTATGGCATCGTGAAGCACCTTTATTTTTAAGAGTGTACAGCTAGATTTTATTTTGATGCACCTCAAAATAAAATGTTTCTGCTAATCCTTTAGAAAACATTAGTGAAATACGACTCGATAATAACTCCCAGTGTAAATTAAAACAGAGGTATTTATGGATGGGGAAAAAATTGGCTTGAAGGGAATAGACCGTTGGGAATCTCCACTGGGGGAGAACCTAGTGTCCCTGCTGGCGTCCTTTGGGAAGGTCTGTTTCCAGATAGGGTCACAACTTCCTGACCATACAAAACACAAAACAGGATATGGCTTGAATTTCTGGGAGCAAATACAATAGCTACCAGTAGAAAACACCACCACAGTTTTTTATAGTTGTAGTGCTCATGTGAATAATGCAGGTTCTAGTCCGGCCTGCAACATGTTCTGATTGCATTTCCTCTTGCCTTTCTGCTGTATTTGTCCACTGCAAGTGGCAAAACCACAAAATAATCTCTACCATCAAAGCATCACACTGATGATCAATGGTGCATTTTATGGAATAATCTGCACTATGACCATGTTAGATTAGCATGATCATGTTTAAAATGCAAAGTGACCTTTTTAAATTTATATCAATATATACATATGAAACAAATCACCACATTTATATAAAAAAGAGCTTGACATAAATGGTCAGTATTTGAATACACAAAACATTACTCGTTATGCCGGACTGTAAATCCCTCCTACTGGAAACATATGCAAAGCAGAACAACATGAAATGTTCAACATCACAGTTGAGTAGGCTTTAAACTCCGAGGCACATTTAAGATGTCTTCACGGCTCCACTGAGTCCATTAGTCCGTCAAGCGCTCCCATAAGTCCCTTGTGATGATTCCCACTGTAAACATTTGATTTGAATGAACATAGATGTCTGCGTAATAATTTGACTTATCACAATACTGTCTTTTCCATTTCTTAACAAGTGCAATTCAGTTCTGCAATAGTCCTTTTTATGCCGCGTAATTGTCCTCTTAATATGTACAAGCAGCAATAATTTCATGCAGAACTAATACTAAATCAGAGGAGAATTACAATCGTAAACATTTAGTGACAATGGACTGCAGCTCTGAAGAGTGATTTTATAGCTTATATCAAGAGCAACAAAACAAACAGCAAGAGTAACTGTGTCACTTCTTCTGTTTATAATATTGAAAATGTATTTTATAAAATACTTATAACATTTTAAGTGATAAAATAGGGGAAGGGCAATGTTTATCCATAAATATATCGTGCATCCATGAACAAAAAACAAAGTAATTTTTTATAGCTCCTACTTGTCCCAATATAACCGCTTAAAGCAGCACTATGTAACTTTTGGCGCTCTAGCGGTTAATAAACAGAACTGCACACATCCCGCGGAAGAACATTCCAACCGGAGCTACTTCTCTAAGTTTATGTCTATGGCGATTCACGCAGGTATGTGTTACTCCGCAGCGTTGACGACCCGACCAGGCTACAATAGTCCAAATATAAGTACTTATTATAAGTGTACCGTAGTGATTCGGAATAAGACAAAAACGCGGTTTGGAAGATGAATTCATGATGTACTCGCTCATTATATACATTTTGCAAATTTTGAACACAGAAAAAGTTACATAGTGCTGCTTTAACAGGAATAATTCACCTAAACATGAAAATGTACTCACCCTCAGGCCGTCCAATATGTAGATGAGTTTGTTTCTTCATCTGAATACATTTGGAGAAATTTAGAATTGCATCATTTGTTCACCAAATGGATCCTCTGCAGTGAATGGGTGCCGTCGGAAAGAGAGTCCGAACAGCTGATAAAAACCATTGGTAAGCAAATGATGTAATGCTAAATTTCTCTAAATCTGCTTGGATGAAGAAACAAACTCATCTACATCTTGTATGGCCTGAGGATGAATTAAATTTCAGCAAATTTTAATTTTAGGTTGAACTATTCCTTCAAAGGTCATGGTTTCCTCAGTAAATATTGGAGGCAAAATTTTAAAATATATAAGCATTTCTCAGATAAGCTTTGGTAGGCCAACTTGAAAACTACTAAGTCAGAAGGTTGTGACTGAGGTAGGGGGCATGGGTGGCACGGACCTTATTAAAAATAGCCATGTTTTCCATTTCTCCCTTTAGTGTGGGGAGAGATTCCCTGGAGATAATCCAAGATGAAAATAAACAACAATCACCCAAATAATTTCGCACTGAAGCATGCTGGTTAACAATATCAGATGTACACCCCAAAATAGACTAAATGATGTTTGTCAGATTGAAAATCTCCCACTACATCTAGTAAACATGTGCAAAGCCAGACAGACGTAGATCTATTGTCATCGCTTTCATAGTACATTCAGCAGGCACGCCGGAGATTCTCCTGGGAATGCAGTCTCTAATCTGATCGGCAGAGCGGCGGCGTGTGTTCTGTAGCTCCTGAAGAAACACAGTGAATCTACGGCTCAGAGTGAGTAGGATTGCCACTTATGTTTGTTTAGGTAACTGATTGCTGTTCGATTTTTCCCTTTTTGAGGCATCAATTGCACGCAAAAACAGCTGAAAAAAACAACAACCTGTCCAAAGCATGTTGGAGGTCATTTTAAATAAATTATAATAAAAAAATTCTAGACATATACAGAAATCCATACTGAAAGTTTCAAATCCCCAAAAGTGCAGTATACTCTGATATTTGTGTACTTGCTCAAAAGGTGATCTAGGATAAGAATGATAGGATACGATTGATCCTAAATCTGTGCTTATGTGCGTTTAAAACTTTTTGTTAGATATCCCTTATTAAATAAGAACTTTCCAACAGACCTGTTGTCTGGCACAAAAGAAATGTTTGCTCAGTAGTGTGTGCGAATTTTAGCTCATAAATTGTTTCTAGAATAACACGCATTAAAAAAACCGTCACCTTACATTTTAAAACAAAAGTGGCTACTTCCAGAATTGCAAGATTATTTTCTTCAGGATCTGGGAATCACTCATTGGCTGCCTCTTAAGTGTATCCCAGATTCTCCATCTCGCTCCGGTAGCGTTGCTCGGACACTCTGCTTTTATGCTGCTTGCTCTCCAGGTGTAAACGAAACTCTGCTTCTTCACTGGCACCCGAGTTACACATTGAGCAATAGAACTGCCCGCTGGGTGTGACGCACATCGCAAGGTCTCGTGGGATACGCTGCCTCTGCCGTGGGTTGTAGTAAGGGCCTGAAACAGCACAGGAAACATGTCAGGTCATGTGAATAAATGAAACTTCAAATTAATGGCTACATGACTAAGCAGATATTATAAGGTGATGAAATACACATTGAAATGCAAACTCACACTGACTTGTGTGCTAATTTCCATGTTCACACTACCTTAATTTTTTTTTTTTTTTGGAAGAAATGAATTCTTTTATTCAGCAAAGGTGCATTAAACTGATCAAAAATAAGAGTAAACATTTAAAATGTTACAAAAGATTTCAATTTTAAATAAATACAAATTTTAATACATTTTAAATCCATTGTTAAACTGTTAATTTGAATTTTCTATTCATCAATCCTAAACTAATGTATCACGGTTTCCACGAAAATTTTAAGCATCACAACTGTTTTCAACATTGGTAATAATAAGAAATGTTTCTTGCGCAGCAAGATTTCTGAAGATTCATGTGACACTGAAGACTGGAGTAATGATGCTGAAAATTCAGCTTCACATCAAAGGAATAAATTACATTAAAGTCATTACATTACATTAGTTTTTAAATGTAATAATATTTCATAATATTACTGTTTTTGCTGTATTTTTGTATTTATTTTGTATATATATATATATTTTTAATACAGCCTTGGTGATCATAAGAGAAAAAATCTTACTGACCACAAACCTTTGAATGCCAGTGTATATGTACAAGAATAAATAAATAAAAACGAGCATGATCCAATCATACAAACCCATTATGTTGGAAAAGCACTATATTTAATACATGCATAATTCAGAACTGAACTGAAAATGCTTTTTAAATTCCAATTCACTTCCTGAATTTGCATTAAATTTGAATCGAGGTAAGCAGGATGCAAATTATAATTATAATTTAAAGTAGAAGTGCCACCTGTAAAAATGTGCCTTCAATTTATATGTTTTATTACATTAAAAAATATTCATTTTAATTTAATTTTGTGGAAGAAAACCTCATTTTCCCAACCCTGGCACACACACTTTGTGGCTCATCATGGGTATATTCTGCAGGACATAATGAGAGCAGATGACCCTCACCCAAGGGAAACATCAGCCCTCTTTTAGCACATCTCAGTGTAGAGAGACACACTGGTTCAGCAAATTCACATTTGCCAGATAAGAGTCTAACTAATAGACATATTTTGAAAAAGCTTTTATTTAGTTCTCTTTCCGTTTAATAAAAAATATCACATGTAAAAGCTAACTGCTTCAGTTTTAGAATGCAAAGGTGTGTGTTTTCGTGCGTATGTGAGGACAGGATCACGGGGCAATGGGGGGCATGTGTGTGATTGAGATCTGCCATCGTGTGGGTGACGTTCATGGGCTCGGGCTGACGTGGGGTGGAGTATCGGCTTACAGAGACCAAAGCCTTGGCGTCTGGCCTGCATATAGCGAGACTAGCGCATTGCGCTACATTAGCACAGGCTGGCAAACTTAGCACGTGCAGCTGCCAAGCGCTCTGCTGCCAAAGCACTGATCACAAATGGAGGTTTTGCACCACAGCTTGGACCACTGAGCAGAAAACAGAACCCGAGGGATAGTCTCGGGGCAAGATCACATGATGACAAAAATCCGTCTCTCCTAAACTATTGGTTGAGATCAATCTGTGTGTACAGTACCTGGCATGGCAGTGTTGTTATGAGCCCTACGGTTCTTCATTAATCGGTACTCGTATCCTTCTTTCCGTGGCCGTCTCTGAGGGTTGGACAAGTCTCTGGAAAACACATTATAAGAAAACACAAATGACCACTTATTATGGATGTGCAATTCTATTTCTATTATTTCAACTAAACCACTGTATGTAAGATTAATCATAATGTTAAAGTAAAAAATACACTTCAAATCAAGGCCAAAATAATCAAGTATTCACAGTATTAAAATGACAAATTAAAACTTTATTGATTTATAAACAAATTAAATAAAAATTAAGTCAATAACGTTTTTGTTCCTTCCGTTGTTATTTATGTTGATGTCACAGCTTGCAGACGATTGCTATGCAAAAGCTGTGTGTGCTCGTGACTCTTTAGCTCCGCCCATGCCACGCCTCCAGGAGCTCGACTGTTTTCAGAGAGAAGCGTAAAGCTGTATCTTTCTTTTATAAATCTGATAAAGCTAAAGACTCTTCTGAGATATGAAGGATGCAGTACTACTATATAGGTACTCAAGATTAACATGAGATTGGCAGAAACTGTGTGTGTTGTTATGTCCCCTTTAACTACAAAAATGCTTACTAAAATTTTTTAATATATGGAAAAATTACACATATATCCATAAATATAACAATATTGCTGCAAAATAACAATATTTACTTACAAACATGCTTTCTAAAATATTTGAATATATGGAAAAATGCTACTCAAAGACTTCTGTGAACATTTTAGTCATGATGCAAATGAATTGTTGAATCATAGTTTTGAATCATTCAAATGGACAGTTTGAACTGATTTGTGAATGTGAATCAAACTTGCTAACTCTAGAAGCATTTTTGCTACTGAAATTGAAATCAGACACAATATGAAAAAACACTCTCATGCTTGCAAGTAACAAGCAAGAACGGATCATGAAATTATTTAAATGACAAATATATATTATAAATAATAATAAAAGTAAATAAATAATATCTAAAATAATGTTTGTTTTAATGACATACATAAAAATAATATTAAAAAACTGTAGTGTTCAAATAAAAAGTAAGCAATTAAATTGAAATAAATTGTATATCGCCAGCAAAATCACTGTGAATATATCATGTATTTTCACCCAGCCCTGCTGCTTACTAATTTGTTTTGTTTTGAATTATTAGGGATTCAAACCTAGCTTAACTAGCCATAGACATGTTTGCTCAGATACAATCAGACGTTTGGAGTGCAACAGGATATATCTTCCTGGGTTTGTTATCGGGACCGCCCAACTCTCGCCACAGTGGCCTTAAAATGAACGCCCCACTTATCAATGCAAAAAACAGCCTGAAGATAAAGCTAACAGGAAAAACCTCCTCCTCCATGCAAAACTACTTACTAGTTGATGCATAATGTGTACATGGATTTTCTTTTGATCACGAAATGAGTCTAAAATTAATACGAGTGTATGAAGATCTATATCCTAGATATGTTTTAACTTCCTAAAAGTATTTTCATGTCAACTACCCATAAACCCATCTCAATATATGCAACAATATGGGTCATGACTTCAGGTTTTGATCCCATTTTTGCCTCTGATATCATTCCCGTGACCAACTGCATAACTGATGTCTCATACATTTTTTTTTTTAAAAGACACCACCCACGAACATTCAAGGATTTTCCGAGTTTAACGGCTGTTTAATCTCGGAGCGCATGGGTGTGACAGACTCACAAGGATGTGGCGTTCTGCTGCGCCTCGGCCAGCCGCAGTCTTTTGGCGTGGTTCTTGCCCTGATAGTGTGCCTGAGCCACAGCGGGGGAGCTGAAGGAAGCGTCACACAGCTTGCAGTAGTCATTTTCCGTGGCCAGTATGACTCTGCTAGTGCCCTTAGAGAGTGGCTGCATACGGGACAATGACAGTAGAGCTTTTAGAAAGAGTAGAGCCATGAAAGATGTGCGTCTACAGGGACGTCTCTGAATACTACCACACCGGACTCAGTGAATGGATGCATGCAGAGTGACACCGCATGATCAAACTGCACTTAAAGATATTCCCAGATAGGGCTGGACGATAAAGTTACCTATATCTAAATTAGTCATTTTATTCAGCAAGGACGCTTTAAATTAAAGTGACAGTGAAGACATTTATAATGTGACAAAATATTTTAAAATATGTAAAATAAATGCTGTTCTTTTGAACTTCCAATCATCAAATATCCTGAAAAAAATAATCATGGTTTCCACAAAAATTTTAAGCTGGACAACTGTTTTGAACAGTGATAATAATAAATTCTTAAGCTGCAAATCAGCATATTAGAATGATTTCTGAAGGATCATGTGACACAGAAGACTGGAGTAATGATGCTGAAAATGCGGCTTTGCCATCACAGGAATAAATTGTAATAATATTTCACAACATTACTATTACAATATTATTATTAATGTTTCTACTGTATTTTTAATCAAATAAATGCAGCTTTGGTAAGCATGAGAGACTGCTTTCAAAAACATTTTTAAAAATCTTAAAATCAAATGATTAAAATGGACAGTTTAAAATTCATGGAAATAGTCAAATTTACCATCTCTAATGTCATTTTTGTGGTGTTTATTTTAGAGATGCTACTACAACAAACAACAAAAACAATTAAAAACGTAAAAGTTTCAAAATCTCTTCATCTGCCATAAATCAGACAAACAGGTAGTTCCGCCCCAAATTCACTTCATTGTTTGAGCCAATGTTATTATGTTCAGCCGAGTCGGACAATCCAATGGTTTGCGATTCTGATTGATGTCACTATTGGCACATAAATGACACATTTTATACTTGTGAGTCACATGACAAAAAAAGTATAACTAGTCTATTGATGTGCATTTACAATGTTGCTTTATTTATTTTCCCAGACAGCCTGAAAAAACACACTTGTTTGGACAGAAATGCACCAGATAAGAGGCATAAGTACCTGGTTGGCAGTCACATTTGCAGAATCTGTGGGTGGAGTGGCTGAGGGTTGCTGGGAAACAGGCTCTACTACCTCTGGTATTCTAATGGGAGGTGGCTGCTGGCTGCCAGCATAAAAATTGCGTAGCTTCTTACTGTGGTTTTTCCCCTATAGACAAAACAAAGAATTGATTACATGCTTTCTTCTTAATTGTAGCGAAGATTTAAACCAGTAGTCAGGCTCTCAAGAAAAACAACTAACTGAAAGAAACCAAAACCACAAGTAAAAACTCCTGATTTGTTAACATACAGTAAAACCACCTTGTTGATATAAACACAGATTGCGAAATCATTGACTATTTCCTTATCTTATTTACATACCCATAACCATAAAATGAGTTTTAGATTACCTGATAATGTGCCTGAGCCTGTTGGGCAGAGTTGAGAGTGACGTTACAAAGCTTACAGTATAGAGGCTTGCAAAGCTCTTCCAGAGTGGCTTCCTGATCTGCACCCACCGCCTGACCATCTTCCTCGGGGGGTTTGGGACTGAGGACGGGGGGTGCTGGGATGGGCAGGTTGGGCGGCAACTGGAGGTGAGGGGGCGGCTTTACGGCTAGAGGAGTGCAGTGTGGGAATCGCAAGGGGTCCGGCGACATCATCACCGGCGAGGGACTGAGATTGTGGGTCGGGGTCATGGCCTGGAAGGGCTGAGGCGGCTGATGACATAACAAACTAACAGGTGGTTTTAGAACAGGGTCTGGACCTGGAAAGCCAAATGAGGTGTCAGAATGAGAATATAAACTTTTAAGGACCTGAAAAACCTGAAAATTTGCTTCTCTTGTGGAATCTTGTTTCTTCTCTGATGACGTTATTTTGACGGCTTAGGCCTCGCCCTCTACATTTTTTTTTCAATGAATACTGTAACACAATACTGAAGTAAAGTCCATTGCAACTTCCGGTTCACGCAGACTTTAAAGGCAGAGTAAGTGATTTCTGGTAGCCAATGTTGATATTTGAAATCACCAAAACAAACACGCCCCTACCCCAAAAGGGTCTTGCCCCTATTTTGATAGCGAAACAAAGCAAAACCAATGTTACACCGTGTCTACGGACGTGAGCGGCTCGGCGCAACAAATCCCCGACATAAATTAGGTTCTATTTATGACGTGCTGACACAAATTTCAAATGGTTTTCAACGGTCGTTTGATCGCGTCCAGTGTAGGCAGACTTTAGCTGTTGTAGACATGGTGTTACTCACCTATTGAGAAGAAACAAAGCAACCTCGGCGTCCGATCGCAGGCCTCCGCTCCTTGAGTTCTCTCCAGCGCTGGAAAGCTGATCCGATATTTACACGGGTCCTACTTCTTGCCTTATCGTTCCGCAGACCTTTTCCTCTTTTGTTTTTTATCCGCCATCTCTATCTTTCTGTCGCTCGGCTCGGCTAATGTCCGTCCCATGCACTGAACGCGCTCTCCTCCACATCACGAGTAGACACGCCCCTTATTGCTGATTGGCTACAAGTTTGTTTTGCGATTCGGCCCGAATCAGTTTTCTAAAGTGTTTTTGAAAAATCACATACCCTGCCTTTAATAATCGAAAGAAACATTTTCCACTATAGGAACCTTTTGTGCAATGGAAAGTTTCCATAGATGTAAAGGTTTCTTAATGGAACCATAGAGGCCAATGGAACTTTATTTTTAAGAGTGAAGGTTTAATTTAACGCTTAATTTAAATTTAATGTTTTAATTAAACAATTTAATGTTCCTGTGGCTCAGTGGTAGAGCATTGCGCAAAGGTCGTGGGTTCAATTCCCAGGGAACACACATACTGATAAAAAATGTATAGCCTGAATGCACTGTAAGTCGCTTTGGATAAAAGCGTCTGCTAAATGCATACATTTATTTATTATTTAATTTATTTATATCTAGCTAATAATAGGTGTTTCTTCTGAGAAAAAGACTCCTGTACTCTCACATGCCCCTCTGGTGTTTCAGAAGAGATATCAATGTTTCAAAGATACAATATCAAAGTCTGCAATCAAAAGCAATTTATTAAAGCTATGATGTCCACATTCATTTTATAGCTCAATATACATTTACCCTCAGGAGAAACATAAGAGAACTCTGCTACATAAAACAGAGATGTAAAGGCCACATACATTTTTAGTGTAGCAAATGAGCTATTTTAAGATACTATATCGTAGCATGGCACTTAATCTAGCAAGAGTGAATCTTTGCAGTATGGCCTTCTGTGGATGTGATTAGGGCTGACTCCTGCCTCCTGAACTCAGTGCATGTTTGGTGCTTCGGCCGAGCAACTGGGGGGTTGGAGAGTCAGCTGTTTCGTGGCTGTGTGATATTTCCAGTGTATCAGTTCCGACGGGATCATGACAACAATGATTCAGCTGACCAAAATAGACATAAGAATGCGCCAAATGGTTCTGTTTCCGGTTGCCTGGACGGTGTCAGCATTAGAAAGGCACTTCTTGGAATTCTTAAATACCCCACTGTTTATATCCATAAATGGAGCTGTTAACGTATTTTCATTTTCTGTGTTTTATTTTCAATATAAATGGTTTCTAAACGGGTTTCCCTAATGTCCTCCCTGTCCCCATTTGTTTGGTTAATTAATCCCACCCCACAAACTGTCATAATTGGTTTAGTCAGAAGTCGGATGGCACATTTAAATCAAAACTAACATTTTTTTATGGAATATTGCAGTGTTTATTAAAAATATTTACGGTCTGTCACACCAAGAGCATTAACGATTACTATAAATACAAAGATGACTATATTTGTGTCCACACCAGCGAACAATAACTGTCTGTTTATTCTAAGTGCATGCTCCTCTGCCACTTTAAATTCGCGAGCTCATTACAGCAAGATTGATTCTGATTGGGTGTCAATGTTTTTATCATTCATCAGCTGGAAAAATATTGTTCTGAATGTGAATCCAACAATATAATTTCTCTATGCCTTTATTGTTATAGCTGTGGTGTGGACTCTGCTATTCTCTAATATTGAGAACGATTTTTAGAACTATATCTTTATCGTTATCTTTATAGTTATCGTCCTTGGTGTGAACAGGCCTTTATTCATGCACATCATTTTTTAAATCATGTGCCCTCATAATCAAAACAAATCCAATGAGCTAATCAATTCCAAAAACAAGTCCCAACCTACTGTAACAGATCGGCCATGCTCCACCACCACCCAATCACAACGATTCCTCTCACCTGAGTTCTGAGCACCAGCACCTGTCACTAATCAAGCACCTCATTAACCAGCCTGCATAAAAGCACACACCTCAGACACCCTCACTGTCCGGTCTCGTATACACGTAGAGGACTCAATGACTTTGCTACTACTTCCATTTGAATACTTTAAGCAACGGTTATCTCCCGCTGAGCGACAGAGAAGGCTGACCCAGGGTCTCTGTTTGTACTGTGGAGCTCAGGGGCATCTGATCTTGTCATGCCCCAGAAAGTATCATCCCACAAAAAGATGATCGTCAGTCCCATTGAATGGAGTGCCCCTTCAGTGGCCACTCCATTCAAACACGGCTCCCAACAATCCGCCGGGCTGTCCTCCTGGATGCCAGTATGTACCACGAACCCAACGCAACCCACTGATTCACTCTGCTCACTACTCCCGAGGCACTGGCCATCCAGGGACCAACAACACCCTCTCGCTGCTACGAGAGCGCTTCTGGTGGCCCAATATGGCAAGGGACGTGAGAAGGTTCGTGCAAGGATGTCCAGACTGTGCCATGTCCAAAAGCCCGCGCCACTTACCATCGGGCAAACTCTTCCCTCTACCAGTGCCGACTCGCCCCTGGTCACACCTAGGAGTAGACTTTGTCACGGACCTGCCACCCTCTGAAGGTAACACATGCATCCTGGTAATAGTTGATCGTTTCTCAAAGTCATGTCGCCTTCTGCCCCTCAGAGGTCTCCCCACTACAATGGAAGCGGCGGAGCTTCTCTTTAATAAGGTCTTCCGCTATTATGGCATTCCTACATTTTTTCTTATTTAAGAAACTATTTTACTCGGATATAGGCCTACATCACAAAAGGGAAGAATAGGCCATCACAATTTCCACTGCATGCTCCACTGCATTCATTTCCATTGCATACATTGCATAGTTCACCCTAAAATAAAAATGTCTGAAAATGTACTCACCCTAAGGCCATCCAGGATGTAGATGAGTTTGTTTCTTCATCAGAACAGATTTGGAGAAATGCACATGTACAATGTAAATGTGCTCACCAATGGATCCTCTGCAGTGAATGGGTGCCGTCAGAATGAGAGTCCAAATAGCTGATAAAAACATCACAATAATCCACATGACTCCCGTCGATCACTTAACGTCTTGTGAAGTGAAAAGCTGCGTGTTTGTAAAAAGCATTTGTCATTAAAACGTTTTAATGTTAAAATTTCAAGCTGTTGCTTCTGTCCAAAATACCAATCCAAAATCCATAGTAACACTTCCTCCAGTGAAAAAGTCCATCACCTGTTGTCCTCTCACATCTAGAACGGTTTTGGCTTGTAAATAGTACTTGATCTGTGCATATTTCTCTCCTGATCATATCAGACAAGATTATGGACAGAGGCATTTTAGCTTAAACTTGTCACTTCACAAGATGTTAACTGATGGACTGGAGTCGTGTGGATTACTGTAATGTTTTTATCAACTCCCATTCACTGCAGTGGATCCATTAGTGAGCAAGCGATTTATTAATAAATTTCTCCAAATCTGTTCTGATGAAGAAACAAACACATGTACGTCTTGGATCTATTCCATTAACAAAATGGACTGTGATTTGGTTGCTTTTCATGTTGGTCATGCACACTTTCCTATCAGAGTGGGTAGTTCTAGGCAAGAATTAGTTGACACCAATAGTCAGAAGTCTGGCTATGAAAAAATAACCTTGTCTTACTTGTAGTTGTCTCTGCATCATCATTTGCACTATTGAAAAAATTTCAATGGCCTACCATTTTACATTCTTCTCATTTTGACCTGAAAACAAACCTGATATCTCTTGGTCATCAGAGAATACAAGCCCAGAAATAGGTCTAAGTAGAACCTACAGTCCCAACTCAAGGTCAGGGACACATACCTGCACTCCATTCAGATTAAATACACTGTTTTTTAGAAGCAATGCAAAGTTTAGTTGGAGTACGAAAACAAACATCTGCTCTTTCATCAGAATTAGGATCAAATATTTTTAGATTTAGGGAGGATTGTTCTCATTGGGCATCTATAATGCAAGGTATGCAGGGCACATGAGAAGGTAAAGCAGTACTATCACTTGATGCTGCAGGTTGTTTTACACCACGCACCGCTGCAAAACTACAGTTGTTCTTTGACAGCATCAATTATTGAGAGCAGAATAAATGCATTACATGCTTGGTTGCTCTCTGTGCTTAAGGGACATTCTGCAGTGTTAAGATCATGATGATTAAGATCATCACGCATTTCGTCCTTCTGTTTTGGCGAATAGAATTCGATGCATTACCAGAGCTTCACAGTGTCTCACCATATATAAAAGCCACTTTAACACTTCATCCATGATTTGCAGAGTGCTCTCATGTGAAATAAATAAAAATTGAGCATTTTTATGTCCTGTATGGCCTGGTTAATTAGACTGCCAAGGAGTCCTCTTAAATAAAATCCACATTTGTAACCTTGTGGTCCCTTGTGTTTTGTGAGGACATGGACTGCAGATTGTGCATTATGGACTCCTTCTGGGAGGTTTAGCCAAAAATCATCACTGATCTTGCATGTCCCTCCATATCAGCACAGTTATAGTTTTCATATGTAATCTAGACTCAAGTGTGACAATGGAGATGGGCATAACCTACCTGATACCTCATTCAACGTGCCTCATATTCTATTCTGCATAATTTTCTATTTAAGAAATAAACTTCTTATTAGTCCACGCTCTGTTAAAAAGCATAAATTGAAAAAGCATGATTTATTTTTTTATTTTTTTTGGACTTTATCTAATGCAAACACATAACATCCATGCAGAGCTTAAGCAGTATATCATTATATAGCCTAACAGAAATAGAGTTGGATAGCACAGAAATCATTTCTGCACCTGAAGAATTTCAGTGACATTTGAAATATGTTGGTCATGTACATAACATTCCATTAACATTTTTAATGTGCCATGATCATTTGGCAATGCAGATAGGGATGTTCATTCTCAATCTGTCAGTGGTTAGGCTGACATCAAGACCTTTCTTAAATAAAGATCGGGCCCTAATAAAGTCCTATTTTAAACCATTGCCGTACAAAGCAAATTTGATGCAGAACATCAGTTATAACGCAATGCACTGAAAATCATTTCGAAAACATTGTCTCATCTTACCTGTCATCCGAGGGAAATAATGGCTGCAATCTCCATAGTTTACAGGCTGAGAGCTGTAGATATTGCAATAGTCAGCACTTGAATAAAAAGCATCTCTGTTCTTTACATTCATCGCCATCTTCCCTGCATCCTTTCAAGCTCTCTCTGCTGCTCAACTTCTTCAAGCCAGACGTGCGCCGCATGCTTCAAACGTCCAACAGAGGGGTGTTTTCATCCATATACGGTTTCAAAAACATTAGAAATACGAGGAAAACGTTGGATAAGTGAGATAGAGGGAGATTTAAATTATGCTAATACATACATTGGAAAACCGTATTCGTAATCACAATTCCAATGGTCGGAAATATTGTGCAATTTACAGTAACGTCTCCCGCACCCTAGTTGGTACAGTCCATTTCCTATCTATGTGAGAATCTGATTGACGATTCAGCACGCGCGATGAGAAGATGCGCGAGCCTGTGACTTGGCAAACGGGTGTGTGAAGTAGCCTACGTGAGGTAGTGTACTTCATTACTGTTATATATATAATTTAAGTACATTTGAACTTTCCGCGAGTAGTGTCGAAACTGTATACTTGTATTTTACTCAAGGCTACTTTTTGCTCCTTAAACATCCATTTAGACGTTCAAACTACAAAGTAAATAATTATTGCAATGATCAACAATAAATTGAGATTACATTTTAAAATTACTTTTACATATAATTGTGAAAACTTATTAAAGTTAAAGTAAAAAAAATGACTTTCATTTATAATTAAAAAAACATAGTAATTTCTCTGTATTTTACACGTCTGGAAAGAAATAAATGAATAGTAGTGTCAATAAACAAACTACTACTACTTATTATTATTATAAGCCTGTTATTTTATATACTGTATATATCTAAATTAGTACGGATGAAAAAACGGTATATCTGTAAAGACAATGATAAAGAATTCAGAGAAGTTGCTTATGCAGTCTAATGTATTCATAATTTAATATTTTAAAAATTTGTCTATTCATTACCATTCATTATTACATTTAAGTTCAACATGTATGCAATTGCAATTCCTGTGTGCCTTTGTACAACATCAAGCAGTCTGTATAAAGGCACATTTTGCGCATATATTTGCAGCCTGAAGATGGCATAAAATATAATATTTCCGATTTCTAGGGATTTCTGGCGAGATTAACAATTCACACTTTATTCCGCTTGTTTAGCATGTGTTTGTTGAACATATGGCTGCTCCAGTACTATAGCGGGATGATCGATTGAAGAAGAAGAAGAAAAAAAGGGAGTTCAATTGGGTTTGTCATTCATTCTCTCTCTCTCTCTCTCTCTCTCACTCTCTCTCTC